ATAAAGCAAATCTGCAGGAACGGGCAGTTTTAGTAATGTGGTCTGAGAAAGTAAGCTGATCATCAATCATAACAATCATAACTCTGGCTGTTTTTGAAGGAGTTATGGTTGATGTGCATAACTGGATGGTGAAAGTGTGATGAGTGTGATGATTTGATGGAACCACAAGCAGTTCTGTCTTGGCAAGGTTGAGTTGAAGGTGATGGTCCGTCATCCAACAAGAAATGTCTGTTAGACAAGCTGAGATGCGAGCAGCTATCGTCGGATCATCAGGATGGAATGAGAGGTAGAGTTGAGTGTCATCAGCATAGCAGTGATATGAAAAGCCATGTTTCTGAATGACAGAACCTAGTGATGCCATGTAGACAGAGAAGAGAAGTGGTCCAAGGACTGAGCCCTGAGGCACCCCAGTAGTTAGATTTTGCAACTTGGACACCTCACCTCTCCAAGATACCTTGAAGGACCTATCTGAGAGGTAAGACTCAAACCACTGGCGTGCGGTTCCTGAGATGCCCTTTGCCAATAGGGTTGACAGGAGGATCTGGTGGTTAACCATGTCAAAATCAGCGGACAGATCCAGCAAGATAAGTATTGAATATTTGGAATCCGCTCTTGCCAATCTCAGGGCTTCAACAACAGAGAGCACGGCAGTCTCGGTCGAATGTCCACTTAAAAGTAGCATAATGACGTATGACACACAGAACGAGCTGTTCTTCCTGGTGAATAAAGTGTCATAAATGAGTGTGCAGTCATTATAAAATTCTGCTTTCACTCAGCATCTGTGAAGTGGAGCAACACGATATCCCATCAGTCCTTGTTTAAGACTCTCATCCACAGACGACTGGTTTTGGGTGCGAGAAGGGGCACTTTTACTGCTTTCTAAAGTAAGCAGCACTGCACAACAGTTCATGTGCTGGTCGTCGCCTAATTAGGACCCGAAGTAGATAAATATCAAGTGTGCTTTTTGAAACAGTATGCAACAAAAGCGGGAAACTCTGTATATTCATGCAGTGTGCGCATGTCAAAAGATTAAATCCGATCAGAAGCTTGTGACATACAAACGCGCAATATCAACCCGGTCACTTTATTTAGAGTTCATGTAAACACTATGCTCGGATTCTTCAATCAGAATGAATAAATTCCAATGGAAGCAAAAAAGTGTCCATGTAAACGTAGCTATTGCGGTTTCAGCAGAGTATTTTCGGCTGCATTGTGTCATGTATGCTGTACCTAAAGGGTGTGTTGGAGGGCTCAAACAGGGCTTTGTGCCGCAGCAGCGCCGGACCCGACGACACGCTCTCCTCCAGCAGCTGAGTGCAGATGAACTTCGACGGAGGACCTCCAAAAATCTCCAGCCTCTTGAGCAGCAACTGCTCCCAGCGCTGGAGTGTCTTGAGAGCGGCGTGACAGAGCGGCGAGCACACGGGCAGATCTGACACACACACACACACGTTACACTCTAGGCAAGGGAAGGCAAATTTATTTACATAGCACATTTCATACACAATGGTAATTCAAAGTGCTTTACATATAAAAGGAATTAAAGTAATCATGAAAACTAATCACAACAATAAAAACAAGGAATTTTAAAACTTTTAAAATGATTTAAAAATTGATTAAAACAGTTAAGAATACAAAATGATTATACATGAATAAAATACAGTGCAATCAGTTCGGACATAGCACATT